TCTAATTGGCAAACAGGGCACATCCAAACCCATCTTTGACAGGCCACATTCAGCCGAAGCCCACTGGATTTAAATAAGTCATTGCCAAGTAAATTCAAATGGGTTGAAGAACGTGTTGAGTGAAGGGTACCTAGAACGTATGTCTGGGCCGAGTATATCGGGGAAGTCGGCATGACAATCCACTTTAAGTGGGCCCAAGTTATCCTTTTTTAGAAGTGTAGTAGGGAAATGGGTTCTGACATGGCAATGATCAAAGGATAAGCTGTAGGAGAAAATATCTATGAGAATAACTCTATAAAAGGAAGGCAAGAGTAAATGAGAAGGTATGCTCTAAAAGCTTACGCCATTAAGAAATATAAACATTGCTTCCTCTCTTCTAAAAGACTAATTTACTCGTTGGAGTGCTAATTCTGGTACTCTCAACCGGAGTACTTTTCTATTTCAGGTAGCAGAATAAGAATCTTCCAAGAATTTGTTTAGAGTAAAAGAGTATCGAAAAACCGCCCCTCGCAAGTTCAATTGTTTAGAATGTATTAGAAGATAGGATGGAAATATATAGCAATAGAATATCTTGTGCCAATCTCATGGCATCGAAAACCCAATTAGAAAAAAGATAATAATGTTGCATTATTCTGCATAATACAAGGTTTTATTAATTTGTCCATGTCTCTCTGTCCTGTAATCCCATGAGAAAATGGAGGTTACTAATGAGACATTATTTAGTATTTTTAAAGTTCATTATTTAGTATTTTTAAAGCAAGTTTAAGTGGTATTTCAAATTTATAACTAAATTTAGTTAACGAAATAAAATATTATTTTAAAAATACTGAATAATTTCAAATAACTCATATTAATGGTTGTGGACACCTCATGTTGGTCATTAATAAGTAGGGTTGCGCACCTTCTTGCATGATGATAATCAGTGGCGGAAGGAAAGCAGGCCGAGGGGGTCACGTGCCCCTAGTTTTGATTATTTTTATTTTTATTTATTTTTTTTATTTTTTTTGTATTGTTATCATATACAAAATGTATATCTTTTTTTAACATATTTTTTGGTTAAGGGTTTATTATATTGTTTACAATAAATAGTTATTTGATACTTTGAGAGCATTATGTGATATTATTTATGTAATAGCTTAAACCAATAGTATAGCAAAAATCTTATAGATTGGATATAATGAACTCATTATTTTAGACAGTTGACAGACTACTTAATGTGATTTGTGATTTCCCATGCTTTGCGCATCACGCAGGCAATGCTATATGATATTCTAAGACTGTTTAATAATTTTCATTCAAAACATATCATTTATAAGCAATGTCACCTCTTTAATATTTTTCTGTCAAATAAAAATTAAATAGATTTTATAATAATTTGTGCTATAAATGATGTGTTTTTAATTTCTAAAATTAGGAATTTTAATCTATAATTTTTTGTGCTAAAATTACAAACTTACATCACTATCCTGCACCAAACTATTCTACACTATTATAGAATTTTAATTTGTTACTATTAATAATGAATATGTAATTTTTTATGCTTAAATTTAGCTCATAAAATTATTATTATCTTAATATTGATCATAATTTTTTTTAAATAAAAAATTATAATTAATAATACCCCTTCTAAGTTAATTTTCTGACTCCTCCACTGATGATTATGCAACTATTTATCCATGATGATAATGAGATAAGTACGGTTGTAGGCACCTCATGTTGTTCATTAAAAAGCCATTTTATATGCAAAAGAAGAAAATAGAGAAAGAAATTAAAAAGGACAATCATGTTTAGTCATGGATGGGTATTCAACCAAAAAAATACCTCAACCATGCCAATAATAGTAGTAGTAGTAGCCTTTAATAATTTGTTTTCCAATTCATCAAGTGGAATGTACATATGTACCCTCATTTTCTAAATTTGGAGATGTGAAAGAAATCTTTTATTTTTTCGGGTCATAGAGAGGATATTAGGGAATTACTAAGATTACGGGCTGCATTTGCTCCATACATTTGAATCTTGAATTTCTGATATTCTTAGAATTCCAAGAAATAATTACATATGTACATTCCACATCTCAGAAAAGGGTATATCCGTACATTCCGACATAACAATCTTGTTCGGCACTGGAAGGCTGAACAAGCTGACTTGGATCTAATCTTCGTTTTGTCCTTCTCTTTTTTCAACTTGGACCCAATGTGCTTCTTCTTCAGTAATTGACAATGAAAGACTGAGAAAAGAATGATGCGCCTAAGAATGGCTGGAAAGAAGATATCGTAGCTAAGATGAGAAGAATGAGAGTTTTTTTTTTTTTTTGAATTGATTTTAAATTAAAGTTATTATTTGGGTATACCATAAAATTAAAATATTATATATTCAAGGGTAATTTGTGAAAATTAATAGGTGCATTGAGGATAAATTATATATTTAAATAATTTAATAAGAGTACTAAGAAATTGAATATACAAATTGATTTTTTCGGTGTAAATAGAAACCCCTTACCCCACCAAATTTGTTAATTCTATTTATATTAAAAAGTCAGATAGGCTAAGAGGCTCGGTTTATTTGTTTAAGATCTACATTGAAGAGATCATATAATTAAGTTAAATAGGGGGTTTATTTATATTTAAAAGTCAAATAGAAACTCCCCTCTTCAGTTTTTTTTTATTGCTTCAGTTTAAGAGGCTCAAAAAAATTCTGTTGGGTCCAATAAATATATAATATTATTAGGTTTAATTAAAAATTTATATATTCAGTCCAAACAAATTAAAAAAATAATATATAAATATATATTATATAATTAGTCTAAATAGAGTCTCATGTCAACAACCCACCACCTTACCAGAACAAAGGTCCTGTTTAGTAGGGTTTATTTTCAGTTTTTAATTTAATTTAAGCTATTTTGATGTGTTTGGTTCAGCTTAACAATCCAGCTTATAGCTTTTTGTAAGTCAAAAATCAACTTATTCTTTGAGTGGGGGAGGAGAAACTTAATTTATAAGTCAAAAATTGCTTATGTTCACAGTTATAAGCTATAAGCTGTTAAGGTATAAGCTATAATCACTTTCCCACAGTTCTACCAAACGGGGCCAAAGACGTCTTTCTACAGCTTGCATTCCATAGGCTCTAGGGACCGCAACCACTGAGTTCAGGCATACCACATCATTGATGAGAATTGTTTGTGTTTTGGGGTTTTTGTTTTAAAAAATATAAAATCAAAAATAGATATGGGTTTGTACCTCAAAGGTGATACCGATTGCGCAAAAGAAATCAGATTCTATAGTGACAGAGGCCCTGTTTAGTACAGCTTTTTTTCAGCTTATTTCAGCTTTCAGCTTAATTTAAGCTATTTTGATGTGTTTGGTTTAGCTTAACAATCCAGCTTATAGCTTTTTGTAAGTCAAAAATCAACTTATTCTTTGAGTGGGGGAGGAGAAACTTAATTTATAAGTCAAAAATTGCTTATGTTCACAGTTATAAGTTATAAGCTGTTAAGGTATAAGCTATAATCACTTTCCCACAGTTCTACCAAACGGGGCCAAAGACGTCTTTTGTTTTTTTTTCCTTCTTCTTCTTCTTCTTCTTCTTTTCTCTCTCTCTCTCTCTCTCTCTCTCTCTCTCTCTATATATATATATATATATATCAGATTTTAATAGAATAAACAACTTTGTCTTAATTTTTTTGCCTTCTCTCCTTATCATATTTTAATTAAATAATTTTATCCTAATTTTTCTATCTTAATTTTGTTTGTAACAATTGTTTTGCCCTCTCTTTATCATAGTTTAAGTGAATAATTATTCCCCTAGTTTTGTTTGTCCTAATTTTGTTCCAGTATTAGATAGTCAATGGATTGTGATTTATATGGATTATGATTTTGTTATCAAATATCATTGTATAATATTAGTTGTGTTGATTATTGTTAAATTATAAAACAAGGTGGTCATATTTTATTTTTTTAAAATATTTGTAATAATTTCTCCGTATCTTAATATATAAAAATAAATTTTAATTTATAATTTTAATGATTATAAGTGTAAAGCAACTTTTTCGGGCTACTAACCATTAAAAAAATAAAAATTAACATATATCAAGCGACATATAAATCAAATTGTGAAATTTTTTTTTTTGGTCGTAGATCTGAAACATTTTCCTTAATTATATGATCACTTCCATGTAGATTTCTTTGGATGCTCTTTTATTCCAATTGCATCAGTTTTCCATTCAACTCCTGAAATACCTACAAAATATAAAAATAAATAAAATAAGGCTAAATTAAATATAAAATAGGTCAAATAAAATATAATTTAAGGATATAAAATATGCACAATAATAGACGCCAGTAAATTTTTTCGGAACACTATTAGTCTAGGGGATTGTTTGTGATGATCTAAATAAATATATTTTTTAAATTTCTACAAAAATATATGTAGAAAAATAGAGAAGTAATACCACCCAAATAAGTACACTTATTTAGAGGATGCCAAACAAACTCTAAATTACCAGAATACTCAATAATTAGACCATCTCTAACCCAAACTCAAATCTTTCATCAAATTTAAAATTGATAAAAATTTGGTAAAAATGATGTTCCAATAGTTTCACCAAATTGGTATCAAATGAAAGGAACCTATTTTTTTTTTTTTTATCAAATTAAGGGAGCGTATAACCTTTCATCAAATCTCGCACGGAAATATTAATAGACGACCGAATGGATGACTAACTGGTTAACCAGGTAGACGATCGGATTGAGAAAAATTTTAAAAAAATTTACAATAGACCGGATGACCGCCCTAACATCCTCTTGGTCATTCTTTTAGTTGACCAATTATTTGATAAAAATTAAAAATTTAACATTAAAACACTTGATATCAAATAAAATTTTTAACTCAAATTTTTACTTCAATTTGGTATCTTATGGATTGTGTTGACTGAAGTGGCGACAAGTTGTACATTGCACAGAAAATATCCACATCGGCCAATCACTTTGGACAGTTGCTGTACTTGACACACAAAAATATCATCGGCCAACCATCACCACTTGGTACACTTGCTGACAATAAAGTTAGTAGATTGTACACTTTACACAGAAACTATCCACATCAGTGATTGACAACTAGTGATTGGGCAACACAGTGCAATGTACATTACACAGAAAATATCCACATCCGCATCACATGCCTTTTTTTTCTTTTCTTTTTTTCACATGACATGAAGATCAACTATCTTCATCATCTGCTGGTATAAATTGAGAATGACTGTGGATCAGTCCCTTTAAACCTACCATTGATATGAATTTTTCCACTTTGAAAATGCCTAGTTTCTCCCCCAAATCCAAAACTAACTACCATGTTCGATCCATTAGCTCGCAGGCTCGATCACACCCAACCACACTCCGAATCGAACAAGAGCTCAACAAACTCAAGATATGGAAATCATCATGCTCTTCATCAAATGCAGAGACGATTCGCATCGGCTTAACTGGCCTCGGAGATCTGTACATATGCATTGAACAACTTCTTTCTCTGCCACTCACCCAACAAGCTCAAAAACACCAAAAACGGGTGATCAAATTGTTAGAAGAGTCCGTTAAATACATAGATATATGCAGCAACACAAGGGATTCAATTTTGGAAATAAAGTCAAATCTTCAAACCCTTCAATCCGCTCTCCGGAGAAGAAAAATCGGTATCGCTATCAACGATTACAAGTGCTCTAGCAAGAAGATGAAGAAGGAAGTTTCGAAATCACTAGCGGAATTGAAGAAATTCGATAGCAAATTCGGGGTCTCTAATCTATCAGATTCAGATCAGAACATGTTTGCAGTGGTTAGAGAAGCGAGTTTGATCACGATTTCGATCTTCGAATCGCTCTTGTTGTTTCTTTGCGCGCCATTGGGGAGGCCGAGGACTAGAAAATGGTCATTGGTTTCGAAAATGGCTAGCGGAGAAGATTTGATGTTGTATTGTTCAGAGAGAGATGGTGAGGGCGAGAGGATTGAATGTGTACAGGGAAGGTTGGAGGATTTGAATGGAAGTATTGAAGGAATTGAGAGTGGGTTGGAGTGTCTTTTTAGGCATTTGATCCGCACCAGAGTCTCTCTTCTTAATATACTTTCCAATTAGGACTAATACTGTAATTTTAATGGCGGCGTACATTATTTGTGTCACAATGTATATTGTATTGTATAGTAATGAGAATGAAATTCAATGTCTTGACTAGTTTAAAATCAACTCTGTTCTTGCATTCTTTGTTTTTAATTATTTTCTCATAAAACAATTTATAAATAAGTCTGACTCGAAATAAATCTTATGATTTAAAGCCAAGGGTCATGGGTTTTAACAGTCTACAACTTAGGATTAGCATAACCGGTCCTAATTAATATTTAAGGAAAATGCGTGGGAGCTCGAATGTATAGAGCTCGAATGGCTCGAAAATATTATCTTACCAAAGAATCAAAAAACACTTTAAAACGACGTCGTTTTGAAATTTCGAACCATTTGAGTCATTTGATTTTCGAACTACGTAGCAGTGCCGAATATTCAAGTCCTTATGACATAAAAATATAAGCTTAGGCTTTGGGCCAGACTTGACCCATATGAACTTGGACTTTAATTTTTAAAAGTAAGTTAATTAATAGAAAAATATATTATTATTGTAATATAATATTTTGAAATAGAATTATATATTTAATGATGAAAAAAAACAATTTATTGAAATATATTATTACATCAATACATTTATTGTTATTAATTTCATAGTTTGGGTGATACTCTTTTTCTTTTTTTCTTTTTTTTAATTTTATCATGTTTTATTAAAGAGTAATACTAGATATCATAAAAAAAAATATGGGGCACTTACCAATAAGTCTCATACACAAAATTCAAAATCTATCTAATCCTAAAACAAAATACTTGCATCAATTAGTCCTACATATTTTTAATTGTTACAAAAAACGCTTTTTTTTTTATAACTTTAAAAATGTTGCTACATCCAATGACTTCCGTCAGACTCATTGAAGACTCGCCAGAATATTCAACATCACTGGGAAGTCGCCAGAGCATCATTTGAAGTTCGCTAGAATGTTTTGAACATCACTGGAAAATGTCAAGAATATCATCGAAGATTCACCGGAATATTCAGAATATTGCCCGAAAAAAAGAAAGATTAGATGGAGAAATTATAGTTAAAAAACATAACAGCAACAAACAGCAATTGGAAAAAATATAAATTGTTTTTCAATTTTTGTAGGGTTTATGCAAATAATCCGTAATATTGATCAAACTAAAAAGTAAGGTTTGAAACTGTAAAATGTTACAGTTTCAAAGAATTATTCTATTAAGTTAGAAAATATGTTATGAAACTGTAAAATTTAACAGTTCTAAAGAATGTTATGAAACTGCAAAATTTTGCAGTTTTAAAGTATGATTCATTTCAGCATCAAAAAAACTAAAATTGTAAATTTTAATAGTTTCCACCGCTTATAACTAAAACTTAAAAACAACTTACTTAGAATTTGAAATTTTTCTCCATTAAAACAGAAAAATAGACATGTGTAATAGAGAAAATGTAGAAAAATTGAGAAATCGAATGAAAGAATAGATATAGAAAGAATATTATACTCCGGAAACTATTTTTGGTTTAGATCTAGTTGGATCTCATGTAGATCTACTCAAATCTGATGTAGATCTCATCTTTTTCGCTGTCGGTGATGATGAAGTCACGAGTTGATGTCGGTGGTTGATAGTTGCCGGTGAACTCCAATTAGTGGTGGTCATCGGTCACCAGTGACTATATATTAGAAAGAGAAATAGAATAAGGAATGTGTGATCACCGGTCGTTAGACATGATAAAGAGAAGGAAAAGAAAACACAGAAAAACAAAATAGACAAAAAGTAGAGAAAGAGAGAGAGAGAGAGGAAAATGTGTAGGACTTTTGGTTTTATTCAAAAAGTTGTTGGATTAAATAGTATACACATATTTCAAACAAGACCTACAGGTAATTTCCCAAAAAAATATCATGAATTTTTTTTATAAAGATTCTTCACTATTGGATTATACACACAATAAAACACCACGCATTAATCAAATAATGAAAATTTTTTATTAAATATTTTATGATATTTCTCTCATTATATCTAATATTATTCTTTATTAAAAAAAACCATATGTAACAAAAAGATGAGTGAGATAAAGGGAGAGAGTAATACAACTTTTTTTTTAGATGGGCATATGAGTTGGACTTCGAAATAACCCATTGGAACGGGCCTCACCCTCCAACTCAAGCTCATTCCATATATTTTAAGGCCGAACCTTGGCCAACCTAAATCTTAATGAACAAGCTGACTTGGATCTAATCTTTGTTTCGTCCTTCTCTTTTGTCACGATCCAACCCGCCTCTATAAGTTTAGCGTCATAACCGAACCGGTAATCCTTGGATTACCAAAGGCATCATCTTAATAGGACAACATATAATTAGAGACTATGGAAGCAAATAGATAAATAGACATAGCCCATAGAGCTGTGTTGACGTACATGAGATAATAATCTTCAAAACAAACTTACGTATATACTTGTGACGTCACAAACACACAAGTCATACATCATCCATTTACACAAGTATAGCCAAATGGGGACTGAGCCTAAAGTACAGATAAGTAAAACAAACAAAAATATCTGCAGCAAGGTTACAAAACGGGATATCTCAAAAAGGGAACCTTTCCAGGAGGCACAGTGGCTGGCTAACCCAAGACTCCAGGTAGTAGTTTAGGCTTGGTCACGCGCCTGCTCACCTACAGATATAATATAAATAGTGAGCGGAAATCCAGTGAATAATAACAAGGTAAAGGGTTTTAATGAATCATGTCCATCACAGAGTCAGAAATCAGAATTTATATCAGAAACAGATTCTTTTCATAAACAGATTTACATTCTTTCCAAAATCACCAGCAAGTATTTGTGGTACATCCATTTAGCTATCATGACATATCTCATTTTGCATAGTGGGTACCGACAACCATAAGGGTTTATATCTTGCGCGCAAGTAGCCATGGTATTGTTACCTCCAGGTGAGGCCACATGAATATAGGCATCGGTATTGTTACCCCCAGACGATGGCCACGTGAATATAAACCATAGTATTGTTACCCCCGGGCGAGGGCCACGTGAACTAAGGATGCCACAAATATATTTCAGAAAAATGGACATTCATTCATGATTCACCAATAGCATTCCAAATAGAAGTTCAGAAAACAAATCTTATTACGTTATACAAAAAATAAATAAAGTTGAACATAGCTTTACTAAGTTATTACTCACAATTAACAGATGGCTTCAAGGCAAATAGACAGAATGGAAAATCAGACGTCTTGTGACGTGTGACCTACACAGTTACAGAACGAACACGTATTGAATTACACACCTGGAAACATTAACTTAATTCTTTCTTATCTTGGTGTGTTTCTACTTCTTATCCTCATTATAGTGTCTTAATCTTGGTCTAGGAATGCCTAGGATGCAATGAGGATACTAAAATGCACTTGAAAACACTTAACAAGAATTGCTGAAAACAGGGGTCTCACTTTAGCGCAACTTTCTTCGCTCGAGCAGACATGCAAAATGTAAGTGGTCGCTCGAGTGCACATTCTTTCACTCGAGCAGTCTGTAATCTTTGTAAAAATGCTGGTTGCTTAATTTTTTCGGTCAATACTCGCTCGAGCATGAGACTCATGCCCTCGCTCAAGCGCAACTTTTGTCACTCGAGCAGTCTGCAAAACACACAAACTTCTGGGAGCATGCATTTTACGCTCGAACGTACGTTTGGTCGCTTGAGTGGAAGTGCAAAAATAAAGGTGGTCGTTTGAGCGCAGGATTTTTCGCTCGAGTGTGAAAGCAGAATTCTGGAATTTCCAGAATTGCTTATAAGCTTCAAATTCAACCCCAAAGTTGTAAATTATGGTTTCTTGGGGAAAAAACTTAAGGAAACTCTTGTAAACTTGCAAAACATCATGAGGTAAGAATCATTACTCAAAATCAAGGCCCAAAAGCAAGTGGATTCTTCAAATTCAAACTTGAATTATGAGTACACACACCATGCATGTATTAACTTGGGTTCAAAATTTTCAAAACATAATCAAATGAGATAAGAGGATGTAAAACATGATGAATTCCTACAACTAAGCTAAATTTATTTCATGCATGAGAGAATTTCTTAGAAAACATGCTCCAAATGCAATGAAATACACATGTATGTACGAATTGATCTTCCTTGCCACTTCTTAAGCTTGATTCTTGCATCTCTTAGCTTAATTCTCTTGAATTCATGTATGAACCAATTCAACTACAAAACTAAAGGTTTGATTTATTACCATAGGTGTTCAATTAGGTCTAAGATGCTTAATTTTTTGAGCTAGGAGGTCAAATTTCCAAAGTTCCTTCCAAATGTTAGCTTCCTTCCCTTGAGTTTAAACTTCTCTTCACTCCCTCTCTTCTCCCTCACGTTTTTGTCTCAAAAATGATGAAGAAAATATGAGTCTAGGTGGTGTGGAGGCCTTATATAGGCTCAACTAATGAAGCTTAATTAGTTTGAATCAAAGATAACTAAGTGGGATTATTTTATTCTACTTTATTCGTTCCGAATCGAATTTCAATTGAACCTACTGTAAAATTCTAAAAATTCTAAAAAACACGTATACCAAGTCAATTTTTAAGTTGGATGCCAATAAGGCTTTCAATTTGCAAACCAAGACGGAAACGGAAAACAGATATTTCTACGCTAAACAGATATAAACACAAATAAGGCAATACACACATGCAATTTAATTTGAAATTTCTCTTAATCACTGATTAAACTTATTTAACCATGAATTAACGTAAATCAGAGGTCAGGGTTGTTACATCTTTCTTCAACTTAGACTCAATATACTTCTTCTTTAGTAATTGACAATGAAAGACTAAAAAGAGAATGACATGCCTGAGACATACTTAAGAATGGCTGGAAAAAAGATTTCGTAGCTGAGATGAGAAGAATGAGAGTTTTTTTTTTTAATTGATTTTATATTAAAGTTATTATTTGGGTATACCATAAAATTAAAATATTATATATTCAAGGGTAATCTATGGGAATTAATAGGTGTATGGAGGATAAATTATATAGTTAAATAATTTAATAGGAGTACTGAGAAATTGGACACACTAATTGATTTTTTGGGTGTAAATAGAAACCCCCTAATCCACCAAATCTGTTAATTCTATATTATATTAAAACTTGAAATAGGCTTAAATTTTTTTTTTTA